TTCCAGCATTTTGTCTTGAACGATTTTAGCCATTTGAACAAATGTCGCTTACGTTAGTCTGGCAAAAAGGTATCGACATTCATGGGCGCCGCCAGAACTTTTTCCAGGAGGGGGCAAAAATGCAAAATTGTGAATTCATTAAAACAAATTAAGTACAGCAAAGTAAGGATTTGTAGACGCTATCCGCTATCGTGTAATACGATACGGAATATAATGAGCTTAGGCGTGGTTGTCAAATTTACCGTTTCAAGGGATTAATTAGATACTCTAAAAAATATAACGAAGGTCCAGAGCGAAAACCCGATAAATAATAAAATTTAGTTATGAAGATCCCATACAGCACACATTATTTCAGAAGTGTTTCAGAAATATTTCAAACTTTCCAAACATATAACATTTCAATCACAAGTTCCTGAAATATTTTAGTTAAATATTTCACGGATAATGTTTCAGAAAAGTGGTATACATGTTACACAAAAGGCTACTAAACGGGTTATATTGTAAAAGGCCAACAACAATTTCGGATTTGTAAGAAGAAGATGAGATATGTAGTTATTTTATTTCATCCATGGAGGATTTCATCCTATATCCAGCAAGAGACAACCCTATATTCTAAATAATTATAGATTTGAATTGTCGGGTTTTTGCTATTTCCTTATTTTTGTTATTTATGCATTGTGCTGTTGTTATACGGGACGCAGAATGTCTTTAGAAATTGAGGTGAGTACTACAGAAATACTGCTTCTTTAGGTTAGGTTTATTTACTTTATCTTATTTTTGAGACGAGTATCGCCATTTCGTTTATCAAATTTACAGCGGTTTAGTCTTATTTTTATTTAAATATAACCTAGTTTGCTGTCCCTCTACCAGTTTTATTAATTAGTTCTACAGCTGATTGTTTGTTTAGGAAGAAACGGTTTCTAAGAATAATTTTGATAAACCCTTTCTGTACCCTTCTAATGACTTGTACGAAGAAGCAGAAATAAATGATTTAAGACAACTTTATTTCATTTCAATAAACATAAATCAGTACATTAACAGAAATCAGCTGCATAACTCCTCTGATCAGTATGCTACTCGCTAAAAGGAAAAATTTCTAATTCCGCATGTGTGTGAAAATCTAGAATTTATCTCATTCAGTAAAAAAAAAGTTATTGCCAGCGCCCATGTCGACATTGTGGTCGAAGTTGTGCATTTTGAGACGTTATCAAATACAATTACATTAAAAATTTCGGTCCGAGTGGACAAGCTAGTAATATTATACATTCTCTTTTGAAATTTACGCAAGATGAAGCAGATGAAAATGTACCTGTTATCAAATTACATAAATTATAAGAACGACTTGTTTCAGTTTTTAGCATTAAGGAAACTTACCTTTCTTTGTAAGGTACGCGTACAAAGTTTGATCATATAATGTAAAAGGACTATAGCAAATATTTAAAGTGTGAAAAATATTTCTTTATATGCGATGAAAAGGAAATCTTGAAATTGGATGGTTCTCCAATTTTATTTGAGTATATTGTAATGTGAGCCATTTCATTATTCAGTCATGCTCTAATCCTCCAAGTCCCTCTCTGTCTTATTTGGCCTTTGAGAAATAGTGAACAGTTTAAAGACATTCGAAATATATATAAATTAGAATAGTAATGTCATAAAATAAATATGTGTTTAAATAAATTATTAATAAATAAACTGTTGTTTAAAATAAACACACATCACATTAGTGTCAGGTGTGGGGTGAGATGAAACTACCGTGCGACCTCGAGTTTGGATGGCGACTAGGGGAAGACATAGCCGGTGAAGATTATGTAATCCATCTACGACGAAAAATGGACGACATGCATGAATTAGTTCGCTCGCATCTCCAAATCTCCAGCGACAGGATGAAGAAACGGTACAATACTCAAGCTACGAAGGGATGTTTCAAGGAAGGCGAAAAAGTCTGGCTCCATAACCCAAAAAGACAAAAGGGTTATTCTCCGAAGCTTCAAAGGTCTTGGGAAGGTCCGTACCTCATCAAGAATAAAATTAATGATGTCATTTACCATATAATAACCGGCTGGCTCCATTTGAGGGTAACCATGACGAGGAAGAAGAAGTAAACCAGCTCCAAGAAACACCTGAATTTGTCTTTGAAGAATTTATGGGTGCATATGGAGGTACCGGAAAAGCAAGACCGAGCAACAACAAGATCTGCTCTCGTTTCCAAAAGACAACTCACTGGTCCATAGTACTTCCGCCAGCATCAACGACGCGCGAGGACTGGCATATGTATTCCGTAAGAAGTTTAATCGACTGCTAGAACTTTAACGTCAGTTACCAGCCCCTGAAAAAAGCCTTGAAACTTCCAAGACGAATCGCGCTACCTTTTCTATTTGATAACGACGAACACCTTCCGAGATCGATCCACTTATCAAGATGTATGGAAAGCATTACTTAGTTCAAGGGAGCACGTACTGGAGTCCAATGTATAGAAACTAGCTATGCCGAAGATAGAAGGAAATCAGCTGGATTGGAGGATCATTAGGAACATGGTGGAAGTAATTTTTCAAGATACCGGAGTCCAAATACTGGTCTGCAGCCATTCGCCCAGTGCTCAGGTTACAACGAAGACAGTCCCTTGTTACTTCTATGCAACTGGAAATTGTAAGAGGGTTCAGTTGCAGATACAACCATTCCATTTTAGTTTCGTAAGAGTTCCAGGAGGAACTATCTCTCAAGGAGGGGGCAATGTAATGTGAGCCATTTCATTATTCAGTCAAGCTCTAATCCTCCAAGTCCCTCTCTGTCTTATTGGGCCTTTGAGGCTCAACTTGTCCGATTATCATACATAATTAAACCCCTTAAGACCAAACATATGTGACGACTATGGTAGAGGAGCTTTCGATTACTATTCGAGAAAGAACGGGATGTTTCTAGTATATTCCAAACATAACGAGATATTTCTAGTTTGGCGGAGGAGCATTATGGAACCTTCGCCAAAGTTTTAAATGTGTATATAAATATTGGTGGAGGAACAACGGTCCATTCAGGTATATATGGACAGTGAAGAGAAATAGTGAACAGTTTAAAGACATTCGAAATATATATAAATTATAATAGTAGTGTTATAAAATAAATAAGTGTTTAAATAAATTATTAATAAATAAACACAATATACGTTTTTACATTGTTTCTTACATTTTTTGTATGTTTGGATTGCAGGCCTTGCAGGTCGAAACTAGTTGCGACTATTTTAAATTTAATATTTTTTTTTTGGTACTGATTATGAGCTATATTCTTACCTAATACACATAAGTACTCGTATTAACAGTATTAATATTATCCTCGAAGTTTTTTTGGTGTAATTTTGGATCACCCTGTATGTATATAAAAATATACATTAAAATAACTGCATCCCTTAATTTGCATAATAATATCTATCGATTAACATCCAAAAAATCTGCAAGGCTAGAATTTTGATTCTTACTTAAGAGCAAACCGAACACCTCGAAAATTTATAATTCATTCTAAGCCTTTATTTTTAATCCGATTTTTGTAAAATTTTGAGAAAATACCAATAATAACAAAACTGAGGGTTGGATTTTTTTGTAAACCTTCGAAAAGTATTTGTTCTGATAACTTTTAAAAGGAATTTCCCAAAAAAAAAAAGAAAAACATTTACGCACCATTCTATATTAAATATGTGAAACTTTGCTGCTTTTCGTTCTATTTAGTAGTTTTTAAATGGGGGGGTTCCCATCTTTTTAACTTAAATGTATCTAGAGTGCTGCCTTATCATTGCACAGTTTAAAGCTCTCAATATTCTCGAGACACATAATATCGCGAAGTATTTCCAGTGGCGCGCATATAAATTAAATTTTTATTAGAAAATCCTCAGAACATTTTACGGTTTGCTCTTAACAATCAGTACAGTTAGTATTTAAATTAAGATTTTTCTCTCAATTTTAAATCACCAGAAACCGGTTAAATTGCAATCAAAAACGACATTCGAACACAACGCACGATATATTATGGATTTTATCTTGATGGCGCTTCGCGTATTTTTATCGCGGGACTAAACATTTTGGCTACGTTCGTTTTGTTATCTAGAATCTAGACTGCATCTTATTTGGTGAAATAAGGAGGCGATTTATAATACATCACAGCTAATATAATTTAGCGAGTAAACATTTGTTTGAATCAAAAAATAAACCGTCGATGTTGACAATCATATTAGCATCGTAGTTCGTATATCACAGTGATTGCTTTGGTAATTAGCACGCGAAATTAAAAAACTACGAGATTATGGTTCAATAAATCTTTAAAGCTTACCTTTAATACATAAGTAGAGGTTTTAGATTAAAGCATTTTCGTTTAATCTGGCATGTTGTATCGTGAAAGATTATATATTGCTATTGGAGCCATTATCGACCATTCCGATTTTGCTCTAATCCCTTAAGTATCTCTCTGCCTTATTTGGGCCTCTTACGGCCTCCATTTTTCCCGTTAGAAAGAATATTAGATATAATAAGTCAACCTCCGAAACTCTCCATGAAACGCTTATGTGCGGTAACCGCCGGTCGAAGTGAATCATTAATATAAAAAATACTGGACCCGTCGACAAAGTATCCAGAGACAACGATTTTAATCAAGGCAGTGCCGTAGAAAGTACTTGAGAGTGCGTTGATCCTTAGTCGAAAGATGTCTGAACTATTCTAGAAGGCCACATATGAGTATAAATAGTTTTAGTTAATAATCTAGCGTTTTGTTCACATGACTTAACCTTGTACGATTTTTTTGCCATGTAATAGAAAATCTAAGGTAGTTAAAAAATAAATGAATACAGTTTTTGTCGGTTGATTTCTATTTTAAATCAATAATCCACAAGTTTTTATTTCATTAATTTTCTTTCTCTTAGTATGATTTAAAAAAAAAACATCTACGCAAAATGTTGAAAATCGTACGTCAATTTTTAAATTAATTACCAATGACATTAAAAAAAGATTTCAAATACTCACCCAAATCTGATAAATTGACTTTTTCCAGGAATGGATCTACAACTGGCAACTGTAAATTAAAAGAAAAAAATTGTTTAAAAATCTATGTTTTCATTATTTACAGTTACCGTTTTTTTTTCTTAATTAATGAGCTAAAGTAAAAATACAATTTTTTGTTTAAAAAATGTTACTCACCCCCCGAGAATCTCTAAACAAAATGGCAGCATGGTGCGGATCTAAGAAGGCGTCGGAAGCCCGATGGATATTCGGGATAGGTCCGATTGATTGTCGGCGTCTTTCTGGATCTAGTGATCTCTGGCGTAAATGAGCACCTAGAAAAACATCAAAAACACAATGAGTATTCAACAAAAAAAAAACATCAAAACATATTTAAAAATCTGCTTAATTTTGAGACTTCGTAATGTAAGTATAACCATTTTCACCGATTTGTATTTGAAATAGTATAGGTATCACATTACGAGTGTGGAAAGTGACATTTTTCAGTGGAAAATATAAGACGAGTGCGACAATCACGCGAGTGTGAAAAATCACCTTCACACAAGTGATGTACAGTATTTTTCCTACGACCACAAAATAATTTTTTCAAAAAATGTAGATCTAGCAAATCTGGCTATAAACGTTCCATCAAGATGTGGCTGGTTTTAGATTTGTTTTTTATATACCTCACTGAATAATTTTTAAAACGTTTTACAGGTAATGTTTTGTCAAAATTAAAAATACTGTTATTCCATTTACAATTTCATAGGATGATAATGATAAAATAAGATTAGGTACAAAAAAATATTAGACTGCATTAATGTTTTTCATTAGTTTATTTTTTTTTTAAACAAATAAGTTGAACAACCGTAAACAAAAACGTTTAAGCTATTGCATAGCTTTTATCGCGGGCTTTGAGCGCGGCGACCGAATCAAGAAATTCCGTAATCCGTAACGAAAAAAACCTAACACCCCCCACTCCGACCGGCACAGCGGTGCGGCGTTGAAAGCCGTGCATCGTCTAACGTCGTTTCAGTTCGGCAGACTTCGGCACAGTGTGTGTGTGCGACTAGACGTATGCGTGTAGACTAGCTGCTAACTGCTCATAATTGATTCTATCTCTTTTAGACACAATTTCGGAAAAATTGAATTTGAAAATGAATAATGATCCACAAGAATCCACAACAAAATATGGGACCACCATTGACGCGGTAATTTCCAGATATTTAGAGGATATCAAGTCTCAAACTTAGGATTCTTATTTCAGTTACCATAAACCTATAGTTTCAATGATACAAATTCCTGAATAACCTACATGTATTGTAAGATAATAAAAATATTTTAAATAATATTAACTTCTCATTTATTCAATAAAAGAAAAAAATTGTTTTCTTATCGGTCACCACGCTCAAAAAGTGTAACTCGAATTAATATCAAAGAAAAAAAAATACTGCATAAATAAAATAAATAAATAATTATAATTGCATAAGCTGATAAAAAATGCTATGCAATAGCTTTACCGCGGCAGTCCCCGAGTGCCACACGTATTTTTTTATTATTAATTATTACCCACAACAGTAATTAAATTAGTACAAAATTAATAGCGAAAAGAATAATTGTAGGGGTTATATTACGATAAATAACATGTAATTTAAATAAATTAACAATAGTCGTATTTTTCTAATTTTCAAATTTTTTTAAAATTAAAAAGAAATAAAAAAAAAATTAAAAAAAAGATAACTAATCGGGAATTTGACCAGCGTTACGAAATGGCTGCGAAATGCCAAGATGAAAAAGTTAGACACTATACGATCTGCGCGAATACGGTTGTCATTTGACTTATCTAATTAAATATGTATATGATCCACGAAAAAGCAAAAATATTGTAGGTAGTTATTAAAATTCTTTTAATAATTTGTTAATAAGAAACATCTAAGACCTATATTTAAAAATTAATGTTAACAATTTAATGGTCAAATCCATTTTACTATTAAGGTACCATTTCGGTAGGCGCGATAGACGACCGCCGACGCGACCGAGAAGTGTCGCTTCACATCTAAAATACATACAATGGGGCATGTTCAAAAATTTTGAAATTTTTTTTATGAATAGTAGAGTTAAAAATAAAACTACATTTTTTTTATTTTTTTTTTATCTATTCATTTGCCGGAGTTATGATTTTTTTTAAAATTTATGACGTCACCGGGAATAGACCAATAGGAGCTAGCGCACAACGTTGCCGGCTAGAAGGTTTACGAGAAGTGATGTACGTTCGTTTGTGTACTCCTTCTTACTTTTAGACTTCTAAAACATCGTTAAACAAATATCTTTTAAATATATAATATCAAATGTTTTTTGAAAGTATTGTTTCTGTTTAAACTTTTACTATATTTAAAGTTTTATTGTTTTAAAAGTCACTTAATAATTCAGAAAATGGCAAAACGGCAGCACTGTATGTCATCTGTCATAGTGTCTCCATCAATAATTTATTTGGAATTTGAGTGTTTATTTTGTACTTTTTATAAATAAATATTATGACTACGAAAAAGTGTTTTGTTCCAGAATGTGATAATGATTCACATTCATCTTCAAAAATATTTATTAGTGTTCCTAGAAATTTGGAAAGAAGAAAATCAACCTTCTACTAGCGATGTTTCTCGTAAACTTTTTAATAAAAATACACCGGATTATCAAGATGTAGCAGCAATTTCTGCTAATTGTCCCCTTCAGGAAATTGAAAATGAGGCTTCTATAAATTCTTAGGTGTATAACCTAAAAACCCTTCTGGAAGAAAATGCAGAATCTCCTGAAAGTTTTGAAGATACCGAATTTATTCATCATTTTGTGGAAGAACTAGTGATAAAGAAATAATAGAAAAATGTGGGTATTTAAACAAACTGGTTCCTGGATCCCATATAATGGCAGATAGGGGTTTCAGAATATTTAGCTACTTGAAAACATGGGATGCACTTTAGTAAAGCCACACCTAGTGTATCACAGAATGAAAAAAGTTCTCCAGAAGATGTACAATTAAGTAAAAGAATAGCATCTCTAAGAATACATGTGGAAAGAGTTATAAGAAGGGTTAGTTAATTTAACAAGTTAAAACCACATTCGTGTGTGAATTTTAAGCAAGTACATTTACTTAGTAATATCTGCATAATTGCTTGTTAACTTACAAGAACCTATTTTGTAAGAGTAAATATTAATTTAATAAATTTTTTTTGTTTTTTTTAATTTAATTTACCTAATTATCACATTTCAGGGATTATAATGAGTTTTTAAACAGCCAATGTAATTTTTTATAAAATTTTAACTTTTTGAACAAATCAAAGAGGAATGAGTACTTGTATATGCATAGATTTTTTTGGGACTAAAACTACCAAAACAAAGGCACCTATTTACAGCAGTTTAAAATGAAACATTTTGACAAAAACGCTTATGTCACAGTGATAAATATTAAAAACAACCAAGTTCAGTTGAATGTGGTAGCAAAGTCTATATATTCCAATAAATCGGGTAACTACATGTGGTATCACTGGTGATAAATTTAAAAATATCACAATTCTTGCTACCTTTTTCAAAAAACCAGAAAGTGTGCCTTCTTATCAATCCTTTATGAAAATGACAACAGTGATAAATGTAAAAAAAAAATTTAATGTTGCTATTCGTTATTACGATAGTAAAACATGTTTGCAGTTCCGTTTATTTTTTATGAAAATCTAAGTAAAAACCAATGTCAAAGGGTTATAATTTTTTTTCTGTTGAACCAAATATATCACAAAATTTAAAAATTGATCATAGGTCAAGCAAGTAATACCTTTATTGATAGTAGCTTTAAAAAAGGAGAAAGAATAATATTGACTTAAATTATTATTATTATTATTAACATTGGTGATTTTTAATAAAAACTCTTCAATTATTGTTTACAAACAAAAATATAAAAATCTGTGAAAATTTTATTTATTAATCTTTTAATAAAAAATGAGAAAAATGAAGTAAAAAACAATTTATTTACAAATAAAAAATATATATACAAATCCTAAGAATATAAAAGTACTGATTTATTTTCCTGTAGTGGATGAAGAGGTTTCTTTAACAATCTAGCCAAGTGTACATCAATATTTACGCATTTTGATAAATTAGAGCCTTTCCAATAACACTGACTAGATGTTACAAATAGTTCATCACTTCTTCTATGAAGCCACATATTTACAATCAACTGAAAAAATAAAAGGGTTAGATATGCAGTTACAAAATAACTATATAACCAGCTACAAAATGCCTTTATTTTATGTAACAAGACGAGCAGAGCTTTACTAGCTCTGAACGAATCCAGTAAAGAACCTCGGATTTTCAAAACTTAAAAAAAAACAATCTCACCACATTTTCACATTTTTGAAATATTATAGAGCTTTTCGAAAAAAACTGCTATTTTTAAAAATACAATTTGTTTAAACAGCTATGTCTCATTTTAGGCTATTGAGTATTATAAAATAAAAAATTACGGGATGCTTTGTTAGCTTCAAACGAATCCAGCAGAGCACCCCAGTTTTTTTTTAAACCACACCACGTTTTTTGGCTCCTACAATATTATAAAATATTCGAAATTTGGCATTTTAAAAAAAAATTCGCAATTCCTTGCTGACTTCAAAGTTTTTTTCTGAAAACAAATGTACTTACCACATTTTTAGGATTTTAAAACAGCCTAAACATGTGTCATAAGTAGTTGTTTTTATATATAAAAAAACTGAAGTGTCCTGCTGACTTTGTTCCAACAAAGCACCCTGTATTATTTAAAAATAGCAATTTTTTTAGTAAAGTTTTACAATATTTCAAGAGTCTAAAAATATTCTAAAAATGGGGTGTGGTTTTTAGAAAAAAGCTTTAAAAAACCGAATTGCTCTGCTGGCTTCTTTCGAAGGTTAGCAAGCACCATGTATTTTTAAAAATATAATATTTCAAGTGCATAAATATATGGTGTTGCTGTTTTTACAGAAAAAACTTTATAAAATAGAGGTGCTTTGCTGACTTTGTTCGAAGCTATAGAGCATTTTAAGTTTTGCAAAAAACGAGGAGCATAAAATTTTTGAAAAGGGTATAAAAATAGCCTAAAAATATGGCATATTTTTTAACTCAAAATTTCATAGGTGCTCTGCAGCATTCTTTGGTATCATAATTATTACTAGGTTCACTAACAAAATCTGTTTCTAGATTATTTTAACACTTGCTGCGATTACAAAAAATGTCTGTATGTCAAAATTAGAAAAAAAATATTTATAGGAATAAAGGGCCTTATAAACTGTTTATTATATGTAATATAAAAACAAAAAAG